AATAATAATAATTGATAGTAATAAATAATAATAATTGATAGTAATAGTTAATAATAGTGATAAATAATATGATAACAATAATTGGTAATAATAATTAATAATAATCCAACCCAATCCAATTAAGTAATGATCGATGATAACTTAATCAATTTATAAAATTTAGGTAATTATTGAAAGATAAAAGGAATAATATAATAAAATAAAACATACGCTTTTCGGATAGCAACATCATCAGCATTACGTGGTACTCCAAGAATGCTATAGAAACAACTGGAACCATTTGATAAATCATCATGAGAGCCTGAATTTGAGCCTAGGCCCATTTCAGCAACTTTTTTTTGGGGCAGAACAAATACCCTTTACTTGTTGTACACGCAAATAGAAATACCGCTAATATGACCGAATGCTTCAACAACTTCTTCGGTCTTCCTTTCCCAAGTGTGATACTGTCTGCAACAGTTTTCTTTTTTCTTCATATGAATCAAATAGAATGCAAAAAGCTCAAAAGACAATTCAAATGATGTTTTTTATCGTTAAAAAACATCCCCACCATACAAATACACACATTCCATTCTCTTATTTATGATATTTCAACAAATCAAATTAATTTAAATGTGTAATTTAATGACGAAATGTCTGCAACAACCCAATTGAAAATGCATATTTTGAATATAATAATAAATGATTATGAAAAAAAAATTATACTGTGAGTCATAAATGGAAAAAGGATAAATTGTCTCAAATAACGGTAAACTGAAGATGGGGCATGAAGGGTGTTCTCATCAACAATGAATGAACGTTATTAAAAATTGTGTCATCATATTTCGTTAAATTTCACTATTGTCATTAATGCTATTTACTGCTAATCTAACATATATCCATCAATTCAAAGCAAAAATAACATAATTAAGGAATGAATTGAATAAATTAATATCATGCAATCAGAAACATCTAAAATTTGAGATTGGTCATTTGTGTTTCTTTTTTTGCACAATTATAATGAGAAATGGAAATAAACGTGGAATGTTACAATTTGTATTTAAATGAAATAAATAGCATATGAACTTAAATAAGATTATACCACATTCGCTGCTTAAACGTAATTTATTGCTTGCTATTTTTTTCATCGATGTTTTTTCTCTCAGTCAGTTTGTTACAACGTCAATTGCTTTCTTTTACTGTTAGACATCATCAATTAATTAAACGATTTAATTAAAAATTATTACTTATTTTATTCATTGGACAACTTAAACAATATTGTATGCATAAATGACAATTTAGTTTTACATAAATTTGCAGATAAATAATAGATAAGGTAGAAATTAATATAATCATTTATCAAAAAAGACTACTCAGATGAAATATTGAACATTTCCACTCGAGAGTTTTCAAGCACTATAACATTAAATAAAAATTAAATTTGGTCGTATGTGTTTCTTTTTTTTCGCACCATTATAATAAGAATTAGAAATGAAACGTGAAATGTTATAAAGTTCAATCTTATTCATTATGAAAATTTCCATTGTGAAGATTATATCCCTAACCATCTTCCTCTCATTGTCAGAGCATTTTTAAATGATTTATCAATGATTTGTAAAAAAAATTCTACTTATCTGTTAAGATACATTAACAACAACAAAAAAAAGAGATATTTGAAGGAGATAGCATAAATTTATTAATTCTTAGGGATTCAACTGGGACAAAGCTGGTGGAATTCTTTCAAACAAAAGGAGAAAAAAAATTGGGGAATATTTACGAATAAAATCTGAAAATTTAGGCATAGCACAGAGTTTAATCTTGAATTTTCAACATTTTACAGGAAATTCTGAAAAAAATTTTGAGGATTTAAAAAGATAAGACAAACGCACGAATGTGTCAACAAAAAAAAATGTAGAAGTCTTTTTTCTTCTCAAACTTTTTTGATATAAAATATGTTAAATATCTTCTAAATACTGCTTTAAAATTGGTACAAATTAGTGTGAACAAACAATTTTTTTCAAGCATTTTTCTAGTTTTGGATCATTAACGCTATTTATGCCAATGAAATTATTACAAATATTAAATTGGTTTTACAAGAAATAGTATGAAATGTTATTCGGAAGGAGGAGAATGAAGAAAAAGCAAATGGTGGAAAATTACGGTTGGAGAGCGTTCCAAAAGTGACAGCTGCAAAAGCATAAGTGTGGAGGAAAGTAAATGAGTAGTACTTATTGACTAATTTATTTTTAACTATGCTCCAAATAAACAAATGAAGAAGTGTTGATTATGCCTGTGATTTCTCGGATCATCAATGCAAATAATACGACTGATGATTGAGGATATCTATCCCAACTGGCCACTGCGGACTTACGACGCTATTTTAAACAAATATATTTATACCAACATGCTATTGTTATTATTATTATCGTTGTTGTTGCTAAAATTAAACAACTTTTTTAAATTTTTTTATATTGCTTTGGATGTTTTATTAAAGAGGCTTTAGTAAGGAAGGCATTCTTGAAGGGTTATAATAGGTCATCTTCATTGAATGTTAACATTCTCTCAACACTTTATTTTTCAGCAAAATTCAGTCTAATTTTTTGTTTTTTTTCTCATTATTTTTGGCTTAAATTAAATTACTAGTGTGATGTGAGCTACAAAACAAAATGAAAACAATTTCAATGTTAAGCAAGCAAGCACAAACACGAAAACTTTTTTTTATCATTTTTTGTTTCAAGTTATCCAATTTTTAGTTTATTGAAAATTTCTACTTCAAAATAGATATAACTTTATTTTTTCTCATTCAGTACATTTTTTTAAAGTTTTGATATAAATAAAAACAGTATTTAGCAATTCATAGTTTTATTACCTTATTGATACAAATTTTATGCTCGCTATTTTTAACAATAATTCAAATTGATAAAATGAAAATATATGAAGTGTGCTGCTTATCTTGTGTCAGCAATCCTTCTCTCTGCAATTCATTATATCAGTTTTGATAAGGTTGAGTAACATATAACAAGGAACAAGAAAGTTAAGCTCACAATCTTCTATACTTCCTCTAATATCAAAGGAAAACATGCAAAAACCATGAGATCTGAATATGATCTATCGAGAATATGCATATGCCAACACTAATGATGCGAAAAACAAATACATTATACAGCTTGCTTATAACGAAAGAACTTGGCTAGAAAATTATTCAGTCAAATGCAAATATATCAAAATGAAAAGAAAAACTCGAGTCGAAATTCACCGGGATGCAGAGAAGCAGTATTAGCATTAACTGAATAAGTCTATATAAGAGTAAGAGATGATCTAATAAAAGTGAATTTAAGTGTCCCGAAATTATCAATAAAGTCTTAAATGTGAAAATTTGGTAAACAAATTATATTCCAACATAAAAAAGAAGCGTAATATTTTGACAAAAATTTTTAGAAAAGAAGCGGATATGGAGAGGATTGATTAAAATGATGAAGTGATAGATGTGTAAGGTCTGACATTAACATAAAATCATGTGGCAATAGCAGATCAGCTAAAGTTGGACCAGAAGAAATACACAAATTTTGTTTGAAAAATACCAAAAGTTAATCGCTGGGAATAATAAACAGTTTAATATTACACAGGAAAGAGCCACTTACAAATGACTAAACGATAAATAGAAGAAATGAAAACAAAGCTACAAATAACAGGCACTAACTATGAAAATCCGATATAGATCCCTTACACCTCATCAATACGATACAAGCAATAATATCGATCTAATCACGAAGATCAAAAGAAGAATAGTAACTAAATAGCAATAAAAAATGAAATGAAAATTTTTAAGGAAAAAAAAGTAAATATCTGTTTGTAACAAGATTACACGAATTGAAACTTTATGGTAATTTGGGGAGAATAGGAAGAGCAACATATCACTTAAACGATTGAGTGTACTTGAAGTGATCGATAAGATATAAAAAACTTCCCGTCGCTTTTACAATAATGTCATTATTCTATTTTCTTCCATGCAAAATATAAAATCTTGAGAAATATATAACTGCAAATGATTTACCTAGTACACAATCTGAAATGGTAACATATGCAACTACATTTTAGAACAAAAAAACGTCAGCATTCCTCAGCTGATAGAAATTTTTTCCTTATTAAATTATGCAGAAAGTTTTTATTTAGGTCAAAAAAAAAACGAGTGATATCGAAATTAAAAAAGTTATTGTAGCATCTCATCAGAGAATTGAAGACAATTAAATATGAATATGAAATATTTATAACGAAAGTAAAATCAATCATCTACATGGATCACTTGAAACTGTATGAAAAATAACGATTTCAAACAGTAATAAACATAATAAGGTAAGGTATTTCATGGAATTATAATGCTGTCATTCAAAAGGAGTTAAAGTGCCACGCTTTGATGGAATAAAATTGGCGGAAAGAAAAAAGGACTGCACTATGGGAATAATATGAATATCAGGAATTGTTAGAAAGATAGGATCTCTGTTGAATATTTGAAAGGAAGAATTCGAGAAATACTGAAATGAGATGAAGCTGCTTGTGCAATGGGGATATTCACAATTTCAGCAATTCCATTCAGTACTGAATACATCGCTTTATATTGTAATATCAGTTGATTATATTTATCTTCACACTGTGAGTAAAGCAGATTACTGAAGAAGAGGTTAATGAATAGTTGGTCAAATTAATATAAGGGGAAAATGTTGGTAGGAACAAGAGATGAATGGAGGAGAACGATGATAACGAAGTGAAAAGGTAGAAGAGAGAAAATCAAAATGTAAAACCTGATTATAGCTAAGATATAAAAGTCGAAAGGGAAAGAGAAAGATTAATAGTGACAAGAAAAGAGAAGTGTCATACATAAAAATTATATCAGAACAACAAAAAAAGTTAACAATTCATAGGAAAATTACGCAATTTGTGTAAACCCGCTTTCAATCACAGACACAATGAAGTTGCTGCTTTGATACACTGAAACCTTTATAAGAAACAAGTTAGATGATGACAGCCAAGTAAATGCATAAACCAATGAAAGGATGCAAAATGAACATGAAAAAGTTTAAATTTCTTGAAGTTTCAAAAACAAGCATAACATTATCGTTGCGGGAGTGAAATATTATTATAACGGGGAATGACCACTAAAGAGTTCATGACATCAACATAAGATTCAACCAACTCCAATGACTATTATGGGAAGTATCCAGGTAATAGTAATGTGAAAAGAATTCTATGAAAATAATTGGGGAACAATAATCTCATTAAGAGCTAATTCTTACATTCCAGTCTGGAATGTACAGCAATATTCCAAAATCCAGTATAAAACATCGTGAACTATACATGGACATACTTATTACTCGCAATAATAACAGTGATAATTAATGATAACAATAAAATAAAACATAAAGTTATAATGGCTTGTAATAAGTGAGAATAACAGTAACAATATAATATTAGCGATAATTTAATAAGTATGATAAATATC